CAACATTCACGTTTAGCCGTACGGATGGCCCTACGGGCCACCGCACTCGCTTTCCGAAAGAAAAGAAAAGAATCGGTCGTCTGCCTACGGCGGTGCTTCTTCCAGGCTGCACGCTTACAGCGGACAGCCCGAGCACAGTCCGCATTCCACCAGGGAACGCACTTCCGTGGACCCCGAGAGGAAGAGCGAGGAATAGAGCGGAGGGCAGCGTCGAAGACAGTGTCATGAAAAAGGAGGAGAGCGCGAGAGAGGGGCAGAAGGGAGAGGTCAGAGAGAGTAGCACTGAGGGAAAATAGGGTCCAGTCCGCCTTAGCAAACTGCCACCTAGGGAAAGAGAGGGAAGGGCGAAAAGAGAAAAAGGAAACAAGGATGGGGAAATGATCACTTCCATGGAGGTCATCAAGAACCTGCCACGTGAAATCTAAGTAAAGAGAAGAAGAGCAGAGAGAAAGATCAAGACAAGAAAGGGTGCGAGTTCGAGAGTCCAAATGAGTGGGCTCACCAGAATTCAGAAGAGACAGGGAAGAAGAGAGGAGAAACGGCTCAAGGAGGCGACCCCGGGTATTCGTCAGAACGTCACCCCAAAGAGAATGACGACAATTGAAGTCACCCAGCAGGAGCACAGGCTCCGGCAAGGAGTCTAGGAGGTGTTTCAAATCAGGAAGAGAGAGCGGGACACTCGGGGGGAGATAAATGGAACAAACTGTGTACCATTTCCCCACAAAGATACGAGCAGCAGAACAATGGAGAGGCGAAGGAAAAAGTAAAGGAACAAAGGGAACATCAGCCCGAATCAAGAGAGCAGAAGAATTAGAAGCCCCAGCAATGGCTGGGGGGGGGGGGGGGAGAGAAAGGAATAGCCACGAAAACGACCAGGACGAGCACCAAGCATTGGCTCCTGGAGACAGACACAAAGGGGCGAAAACCGCGAAACCAGAAGTTGGAGTTCGAGGAAATTGGCGTAATAACCTCGAACGTTCCATTGAAGAATGGACAACGACGAGAAGAGAAAGGACAAAAACAGAGAACAAGGAAGAAACAAAGGCGAAAGACCAACAGAGCACGTTAAAGAATATCAGGGTCGGGATCAGGGTCAGCAAAGTCAGGGTTAGGGGGCATGGGTAAACTGAGCAAAGACGGAGGGAAGGAAACGGGAGAACAGATCAGAGGCGGGCGGGCTGGGTCCGGAGGAGGAGGAGGAGGAGGAGGAGACAACGGAGAGGAGCAGTCAAGGACAGCAGCAGGAAGAGGGGGAGTAGAAAGAGAGGAGCGCACCCCAGCAAGAGCAGCAACCGAAAGGGAAGCAGGGGCCAAAGAAACCTCCATAGCAGGAACAGGGGGCGCAAGCACTGAAACGGGAGGGGAAGGAGCAACAGAGCCAGAAGGAGGAGCTGAAGAAGAAAGCGAAGCCTTCTTACCCGCCGGGGAAGAGGAAGGAGAGGAGCCAGGCTTACGCTTCTGACTTAAAGAGACCGGTGTCCCAGCAACTACGTACCGGGCAACGGATTCCAGTGTCTCAACAGGAGAAGCCGAACGAGAGCACACACGACGGCCGTTAGGAGAGCGATGGACATCCGCCCGCACCGACAGGCGGCGGGGAGAGCCGATAGATGGAGGAAGAGGATGGGAAGGAGGATCGGAGGGGGACGAGGAAGAAGACACAGAAGACACGACAGACCGGGTAGAAGGAAGGGGAACCCCAGACAGAGGACCAGGAGGAGGATCCTTCGGGAGAGAACCCAAAGGGACAGAGGAGGGGGCAGTGGGCGCATCAGGGTCCAAGGCCCGGAAACGGTTGTGAGTCTGAGGAAGGCGGGAAGGACGAGGAGAGGAAGAGCGCAACACGCGAGCATAAGAGATATTAGCATAAGGCGGGAGCCGGCGAACCTGGCGCCTCGCCTCAGGAAAAGATAAACGCTCCCGGTGCTTCAAGTTGAGGACGGCTGCCTCAAGCTTGTAATGGACACACGCACGGGAGAAGGTAGGATGGGCCTCACCGCAGTTGAGGCAACGAGCCTGGGGAGAAGCGCACTCCGACTTAGAGTGACCTTCGCCACCACACAAAGGACAGAGAGAGACAGTCCCGGAGCAGCGGAGGGCACCATGCCCAAACCTCCAGCACTTGTTGCAGAGCCGAGGAGAAGGAATGTACTCCTGGACAGAGCACCTGGCACCAGCAAGAATGACAGAGGGTGGAAGGGTCCTACCATCAAAGGTAATCTTCACAACCCGGAGGGGTTGACGGCGACTACCACGAGGGGGACGAGTAAACGTGTCCACCTGGAGAATAGAGTGGCCCTGGGCAGCGAGGATATGTCGAATATCGTCGTGGCAGTCGCGCAGGTCCCGAACACCGGTCGCAACATGGGGCGGGAGCAAAATAGTGCCAACACTGGCATTCAACTGAACGTTCTTCGAGACCCGAACGGGGGTCTCGCCAAGGCAGGATAAGGCAGCCAAGCGGGAAGCAGCATCCTGAGAAGGAGCAGCAACGACACGTGTACCGAGACGAGTGGGGTTGAAAGTAATGGAGGCATCCACGGAATCAATGAGATGTCGATGGAGGGAGAAATCGTCAGGAGGCGCAGAATCAAGAGGGAGGAGATCAAAATATTTGGCCCACGAAGCGGGACCAAACAAGGCTTGATAGGTAGCAGAACTGGAAGGAATCGAGCGAGGGCGGCCGTGACGAGGACGGCGGTGAGAACCCCCAGAGAGAGAGGGGTTAAAAGGCGCAGTAGTTACAACTAGAGAAGGAGCCGCGCCAGGGGACGAGGTAGTCACCACTGGGGGCTTGGGGCTCGACCCAACCACAGAGGAGGGAGGGGAGCCAGAGGAAGGAGTCAGAGAGGCCAAAGGAGGAGCAAGGTCGGGGCCCAATGCAGCGGAGGCTACAGAGCCCGGTCTTCCAATACGGACCGACTCGGGGGCTTGGTCGCCCACCCCACGAGCCTGAGAAGGTAAACCAGAAGAAGCCGAAGCAGGGGTAATCATCTTGACGAAAGAAAGAATTCACTCACGAATGTGCCCCCACACCCACCATGGAGCCACAATTAGAGGCAGGACACCCAACAAGAAGCTATCGCCGATCTTGTCGGGGCCTCCTAGGGGTGCGTCGCGAGTATACGCCCCACAAACGCCACCTTAAGAAACCGACAGTCCGTCGAGATCGGGTTCAGTGACGAAGTGGGGATTGACAATAAAAGGTTCCCCTCGCTCTCGACGTCGGGTACTGCAGTTCTACGGGTGCATGAGTATGCCTCCTCAAGCACCCGGGCGTCAAAATAGAAGAAGTCCAAGGGAAGAACCAGAACGAGCAAAAGGTCGGTAGGAAACGGCAAGCAGATAGGAGAAGAGGGGGGAGAAAAACGAAACAGAAGGAAAAGGAAAAGATGCCCAGCAGAATTGGAGAGGACGGCAGCAGGAGCACAAGGCTAGAAAAGGACAGAGGACTGTCCCAAGGAGCATCACACTCCGGCAGCCGCCCACTAAGCCCCCACACGGCGACAACGAGCTGAGCGGGGAGGGGGTAATCTCAGAAAGTTCTTCACCGATTGCTTTGAAATTTTCACACAAAGCTCCATTCGCATCCAAGCGGGTTTTTATATACATATTATATAGTTGTCACGTCTGTGATGGGAAAAAACATGTTTTTTTAAACTGTATTTTTCAAGTGTTTTTCATGGGAGGGAAATCTTTGAAACCTCTTTACCGATTGCTTTGAAATTTTCACACAATGTTGCATTCGAGTAGGCGCGTGTTTTTATATACCTCCTATATGCATGCCACAACTGTGACAGGAAAAATCGAGTTTTTTTTGGCAAACAGCGCCATTTGTTGGACGTAGGAGCAACACACGCTGAAATCTCTGAAAGTTCTTCATCGATTGCTTTGCAATGTTGATACAATGTTCCATTCGAATACACGCATGGTTTTATATATACCGACTATATAGATGCCACACTTGTGACATGTAAAAGCAGGCTTTTTTTTTAAAACAGCGCCATCTGTTGCACGTAATAGCAACTCACTTTATACTAAATATTTTACAATTCCGTTTCAATGTTTGCGATTGTATTGATGAATTTAATTTTCATAAATTTCGATTTATTTTCATTTTGATTTAATTTATTTTGTGTGACATTGTGTTGAAGTTGAGCTGTGTTGTTTACCATTTCCTGAGTATAGTTTATTTTTGTATTTTTTCAATTTTTTCATTTCGTTTTTTATCTGTTTTTCTTATATTTCAGTGATGGAAACATCAGATCATTTGATGTTCTTATTTTTCTAATCGTTTGGGAATGCATCAAAAGAGGGAATGGGAAATGTTGGGGAGGACAAGGTGATGGGAGTGGGGGAAATTGGGGATAACGAGAGGACAGGGGAGGGGGTAATAGTAGTGGGGAGGACAAGGGGACGGGGCAGTTGGGGACGAGAGGATAGGGGAATGAAGAATTGTGGAGAGGACAAGGGGACAGAGGAGTGGGGGGTTGGTGGAAAGGATGAGGGGAATGGTAGGGAGGATGAGAGGATGGGGGAATGGGAGTTTGTGGGGAGGAGGAGGGGACGATGGAGTGGGGAATGGTTAGAAGGACGATTGGACGCTGGAGTGGGGAATGTTGGGGAGGACAACGGGACGGGGGAGGGGAGGACGAGTGGACACGGGAGTGAGGAATTGTTGGGAGGAAGAGGGGATGGGTGAGTGAGGAATGCTTTGAAGGAAGAGGTGAGACAGGTGAGTGAGGAATAGTGGGGGGGGGGGATGAGGTGACGGGCCATGGGCATTGGTGGGGAGGACTAGGGGACAGGGGGAAGGTTGCATTGGCTCAGCAATGCACATGCGTTGCTGAGCCACAGCAACGCGTGGCCGGGTAGCAAGTATACATATAAGAATAATTAATGGATTTGACTTTACAGCATTTGATAAAGTGAAATTGGAAATTAAAAATAAAATAAGTTGTTTTAGCAAAAAAAGTTCTTGTGTCTTTGCTTCTCCACAGATGTTGGTGGGCTGGTGGCTTGTGTTCTGCCTGATAGTCACCACGGGGTTCAGCTCGTCTCTGATGGCGCACCTTACTGTACAAGGCAGGTCCCGGCCTCTGGAGACCTTCCAGGACCTGGTGAACCAGCCTGGCTGGAGGTGGGCAACTGACTCCTGGATGATGACGGAATCAGTTGTCGATTACTTCGTGAAGCATCCAAATCCTGTGGTCAATCATGTATATTATAAAATGGAGGTTGGTTATGTGCGCTTTCCAGGTAATATATATGTACTCACCTAGATATCTGCAAGGTTGAGCATCAACACCTTACCCCACTGGAATGTTACCACCGTCCAATTTAACATTAATGAGACTTGACTGTGACACATATGACTTACATGAGGTACTACAAGGGTACATTTGATATATGTTTACAGTAGATGTCAAAATTCTTGTACGGAGGTTGATGATAAATTTGATCTAAGTTTTAGTTAATATGTCTGGGTATACAAGATGACTCTTGATAGAGTTCTGACTTCATTACTATCGTTAATCATCCCTGGGTCTTGTTACCTGTTGTAAACAATGAATGGTAACCTTTGACGTTACACCTCGGCGATTCCGTGGCTTAGTGGGCCGAGAATGGTCACTGTGTTGTGTGTTAGTGAGGATGCTTCTGACGTTGGACCCGACCTCATATTTGTAGTTATTACGCACCAAACAACCTCTTTCAGGTTCATAACTGCCATTAGAATCTACTCCTTCCTAATATTGTTTAGAAAATACCCTTTTATTAATTGTTTTTTACAGGGATATTCCTGTGCGGGCCCATTGCCTATGGCTGGCCCACTAAGTGTTACTTTTATCTTGTTTCTGTTTTACTTAGGCTTAGTATGAGTATTTATGACTCGTTTGTTCGCTCTAGTAAGATTATGCCCCATGTGTTTAACAACTTCTGTGTTGAATTTAAGTAGAAATTTTATTGGGTTTGTAACTGTGCAGTGTGTTACAATATGTTCCAGTGGTCTGTCGGGCATTTCTCCATAGTGCTGATCTTTCCTCTCATCTTCTGGAACCTGTAAGCCTATTTCCCATGCACATGGGTATCAAAGCCTGATACGATGTAATGTACTTCTGTTGTTCTAATGCACCCTTTCATCAAAATAAGTGGTTTGTAGTTGTAGTTTGTGGTTAAATTCTTGTACCAACCCGCAGATCATGATGTTGCAACCGCTGTGTTGTGGTCACTGTACATCTTTTGCATTGCTCTATTTCTAATTACTTTCTTAATCTGTGATAGACTTTGTGGTATGTATATGTCTACTTTTCTTCTCTTAGTTGCAAATTCAGCAGTTTCGTGTGTAATGTCATTTCCTATTATTCCCACATGACATGATAACCAGTTTATAAGTACCCGTCGGCCTTGACGTTTCAGTGTTTGCACTAATGCTATGACATTTGTGATCAGATGAATGTTGTTACGTATGTGTTCTTGTTGCTAGGTTTCAGTGGCAGTTTTCGAATCTGAATGTATGATAACATGTTGTTGGTGTTTAGCATGAGCATGTTCCAAAGCCTTTTGATTGGCTAGCATCTCTGTTTGTAAAGTTGAACACCCATTTGAGAGTCTCCAACAAACAACAGAATTTCCTGCCTTAACTGCAGCTCCAGTTTCTTGTCCCTGCTGATCTACTGATCCATTTGTGAAGTACGTGAAGCTGTCAGTTGCCAAGTTTGCTTCTGTATGCATCTGTGCAATATTACGTAGCAGATGAGGATTAGTCTGGTTCTTTTTTTCTTCAAGAGCAATAATCTTAAGGTTTGCTGGCAGCGATTTCCTAGGGGTTTGCATAACGAAGTCTGCATGTATTTCGTCGACGTCCATCTCAGTGACTGTATTTGTAATATCGAATGTATTGAGTGTGTTTATTGCACACTGGGTCCACCTGTTGCTATTGGAAACATGTGTGCAGCATTTCCTTTTACCCTTATTTCAATGTTTGCTTGGTTTCTAGTCTTAGGTTCAGTATTTTAGTTCATCTGGGAGCCCTTGTTATGACTCACACTGCATCATTTTGAATAACCTCAACGTTTGTCCACTTGTCAGGAGAAAAAAGTGAATAAAGCAGGCGCTCCATAATCAAGTAGGGGAATGAACAACGTGTAAAACATTCTTAACACTATGTCCCACTCCTAGACAGGGCCCTGTGATTGTTCTCATTATATTCAGTCGTGATTTTGCTTTCTCCTTCAGATATTAAATGTCTTTGTTGAATGCCATGTTAGAATATATCCACTCTCCGAGATATTGAGTACCGTGATATTAGGTAACCCAGTGAAGGTTAATGTACTTCTGTACTTAATGTACGTCTTGAATGAGTAGCTGCCTGTTTAGAGTGTTGTCACCTAGTCTCTTTGCCTTAGACTTCTGTGCAGATATTTTTAGCCCTAAAATGCTGTATTCAGATGATACTTGTGAAGGACCTGTGTTAACTAATGCTATATCATTAGCAATTTAGCAACTTAACCCCCTGCTAGAAATGTCATGGTAACGAGGTTTTTCATTAGGATGTTAAAACGACTAGGATTGAGGACTCCTCCTTGTGGAGTCCCATTCTCATGCAAGTGGTAATCCGACATTTGTCCTTGCAGCTTTACCCTGGCTTACCTGTGACCAAGGTAATCTTGAATCCATGCTAGCAAATTTCCCTTTACACCTTTTTTAACTAAGATGTGTAAAATTGCTTGTGGGCTCGTAAGTTCGAATGATTTTTCTAAATCAAGAAAGATCACTATAACAGGACTTGAGTTAACTGTTCCTAGTAATGTTGCTATGCAGTTGGTAGTACCTACTCCTGTATAGAAGCCAAACATGTGCATATGCAGGTCGTCAGGATTCCACAGGAGCATATTTAAAACCATCCGTTCTGCTGTTTTTCTAATGCATGATAATGAAATGGGTCTGTAATTGCCAGGTTCTTTTGGCTTTGGAATCGGAATGATGTCTGCTTTCCTCCAAGAGGTCGGTAGTTTGTCTTGCTGCCAAGTACAGTGATAAAGTCCAATATCTCCTGTTCTCCAAGAGGATCTACGTGTGCGATCATTGAGTACGTAATGTTATCATCACCTGGTGCAGTGTTCAGGTGATATGGTGCATACCATTTTTCATTTTCATCTTAGTATATATTCCAGTTGGCTATTTTTTTATTCCACCTAGGTTGTGCAGGTGGTGTAGGAGGTCGTTCTATGTGTGGGGAATAACTCCAGGCAGCTACTCTCTTTTTTAAATTGACTTTAATAAGATAAAGTTCTATCTTATTTATTTTCTTAGTTAGCAAGAATTAATTGAGTGAACTGTATGTACTTGATTAAACTGCCTGAAATTATCTCACACACTATGGGGGGGACAATTGGTAGCTTAAACCAATTTGAGATGGCTACTTCTTAAACTACCAATTGTTTACCCTTTATTATAATATTATACCACATGTGGTGGTTCACTTATTATTATATCATACCACATATGGTGGTCTAATCTACTAGTAATAATTACTAAAATTATGACTACTAATACTACTATAATAAAAGGAGGGCTTAGCTCTTCCTGTAGTAGGGGCCTGTTAAGGCTGTGTATATGTAGTATCAATCTGGGTGTGGCCCTGTGCCTCTTGTGCCACGTAATGGCGGTTGGTGGGAGGGACAAGGCTTGGCAAACAGCTAGGTTAATTATGTTTATGATCCAACTGTCTGCACAGCTTCTTGCTGCTCCTATCACAATTTACCTGTATGGGATGCAAGGAATTAATCAAAGTTCCCTAAACATATCAATTACAGGTATGACATGAAGTGTGAGGGCTGTAAAATGGAGTACACGTACATTATGTTTGGGGTCTTCATACATATAACCGACTTATTTTTATAAATGATAAAATGTGCACATTATAATTCAAATACAAAAAATACTTGATAAGCCGGATACTGGAGTGCTCTAGTTGAATTAGTGGTGTCGCTATGGTAGTTTCTTGGGACAGAGTAGGTCTATCCAATGTGACCAGTAACGCAACACACTAGCACTCTTTGTTTGTTATTGTTCTGAGTGGGAGCCAGTCTCTGTCTGGGGCCAACGCCCTCAGGCTTGGTTCACTTCTAAAGTAATTTACATTAACAAGGGAATCAAGCTACATTTTGGTGTTAATAATTATATTCAGTCTTGTTGATTACTTTTTTGTTAAATCTAGATACAAAACTATTCTATTAATAGTATTAGAACATTGTAATATACGTGTTATCTATGATGTCACGGGATCTCCCATTTTCTTTCCTGAAGGGAAAACGAAAAAGGGAATACTATGTTATGTGTGTGTGTGTGTGTGTGTGTGTGTGTGTGTGTGTGTGTGTGTGTGTCGGATTCCGACATAATTCCGGGGGGGAAGAACACGGGTCGAAGTCCCGGTAAGGACTGCGATCACTTTATTCTTCTCCTTCAGAATTATAGTGCTGCTTTAATTTGAGTTTACATTGCTGTGCAGCAGTCCGTTGGGGATGTATGTCCCGTACTGGCGTATCGGGTGATGGAAGTCGTTGCACGTCTTCTTTCCTGGCCAGTTCTAAAGGAACTAATTTCTCTAAAGTTTTGAGAGTAGTGTTGTCTCGGCAGTTTACTTTCACTATTCTCAAGATGCCCAGGCTGCCTGAATGAACAGAGACTATTTGACCTATAGGCCACTCTGAGCGTGGTCCATCACTATCCACCAGAACTATGTCACCAGGGTTCAAGTTAATTCTGTTATAGGGATTGTTTGCCCCATAATGATACTCCCTCAGAGCTGTAAGGTATTCACAAGTCCATACGTCATTCCACCGACTTATCACCCTTGATAGATGTTTGAAACGTTGAACCAAATCACTCTCTTTGACATATGAAGGATCCTCTGGTTCCTCGTCCGTAAGGGACACAAGTGTTTTGAGAGGTCTCCCATACATCAGATGAGCTGGACTTAATGGTTCACGCTGCAAAACATCATCAGAGAGGTAGGTAAGTGGTCGGTTATTAACTCGTGCTTCTATCTCTATGATTACTGTTTGAAGCTCCTGTAGGTCAATCCTTTGGCAGTGTAGGGTTTTTTGTAGGGAACATTTCACCGTACCAACCATGTGTTCATAGAAGCCTCCGTGCCATGGTGCTCTGGGAGGTATGCATTTCCAATGGCACTGCCGTTGAGTTAGGGCTGTGCGTACCTTTGGGTGTGTCCAGA